GGGATGGTCTCGATCTCTTGACCTCGTGATCCACCCGCCTCGGCCTCCCAAAGTGCTGGGATTACAGGCTTGAGCCACTGCGCCCGGCCGTTTTTTGTTTTTTTTTTAAAATAAACCACACACACACACACACACACACACGCGAAGCCAGCTCCAGGAGAGGGAAGCAGTGTGGGGAGTGAGTGTCCCACCACCACCACGAGGGGGATGCTGGCTGTGGAACTGAAATGGTCTGCAGAAGACGCTGGAGTGAGGCTGCAGTCCTAATGAGGGCTTTGTGAGGATGAGATTGATAATGACAGCAGCTGCCTCTCCTATGGAGCTTACAGGATCTGAAACTGTTGTAAATATTTGACTTATATTGCCCTGTGCAATCATTCAGACAGTTCTGTCAGATAGCTGCCATAATTATCCTTATTTTATCGGGGAAGAAACTGAGGCATAAAAGGTTAAATACCTTACCCAGCAGCTGGCAGGACTAGGATCTAAAGCCAAGGTATTTGACTTTAGCGATTATAATCTTGTATATTTATTTTGAGCCGGCTTCTTCATCTGTCACCCAGATGGGAGTACAGCGATGTGATCATAGCTCACTGTAGCCTCAAACTCCTGGGCTCAAGCAATCCTCTTGCCTCAGCCTGCAAACTAGCTGGGACTACAGGTGCATACCACCACATATGGCTAATCTTTAAATTTTGTATATTTTATTTTCTTTTTTTGTAGAGAATGTTTGTGGCCTAGGCTAGTCTCAAAACTCCTGGGCTCAAGTGATCCTCCTGCCTTGGCCTCTCAAAGTGCTGGGACTGCAGGTGTAAGCCACTGCACTCAGTCAATTTTTAAATTTTGTAGAGACAGAGTCTAGCTATGTTGCCCAGGCTGATCTTGACCTCGTGGCCTCAAGTGATCCTTTAGCCTTGGCCTCCTAAAATGCTGGGATTACAGGTGTGAGTCACTGTACCCAGCTTCACTGCACTCTTAAAATACTGCTTATAACCCTCTAGGCCAGGAGCGGTGGCTCATGCCTATAATCCCAGCACTCTGGGAGGCTGAGGCAGGCAGATCACCTAAGGTCGGGAGTTAAGAGACCAGCTTGGCTAACATGGTGAAACCCTGTCTCTACTAAAAATCCAAAAAACTATCTGGGCCTGGTGACGCACTCCTGTAATCACAGATACTCAGGAGGCTGAGCCAGGAGAATCACTTGAACCCTGAAGGCAGAGGTTGCAGTGAGCCAAGATCACACCACTGTACTCTAGCCTGGGTAATGGAACAAGACTCTGTCTCAAAACAAACAGAAAAACCTGTGATAGTGCCAATTGGACATCTTTAACCTATACAAACAGCAATTTTATGCTGCTCAACTGAAAATTATTCCCTTTCTTCCCTACCAGTGGCTCTAGGACCCACCTTTCTGCGTTAAGAACAAACTAGGACATAGGGTTAAATGGTATTTATTGAATGTAAAGTAACCCCAGCCCCATGGGGAAAAAAATTCCAAGAACGGGGAATACAGATTAAATACCCACTTGTGCATTCACACTCACACACTCGAGCACACACACACCCACACACCCCACACACACATCCAAGCTCCAACAGTGACAAATAAAACACCTGTTTTCCCCCAGCCTGAGGGACAGCTGGTAGGAGGCGGTTCAGAGGTGGGGTTACAGGATGGGTTCTAATAGCAGCAGCCTTGTCCCTCCCTGTCCCCTGCCCTGCCCCAGGGGTCAAAGGGAGCTGGGCGGGGTGCCTAGGACATTGGTGGCAACTCTTCCCCACTCTGCCGCAGACGCTTCTTTGCTCTGATCTCATTCATAGCCTCTTCAATGGAGCGGGTGTCCCTCTTGTTGGCCACGGGCACTAGGGGCAGAAAGGAGGGTAAGGAGGGCCTAGAAACCCGTGCCTCAGCCTCTACTCCCTCCCCTCACATCCTAGGCTCCCCTCCCAGCCACCCCAGCTGCACTGTGGCCTTACCACAGCCGTAGGTCTTATTGGCCTGTAGCATGTGGGCTGCGTCTTTGGCTGCTCCCTTGCCGATGAGGTGGCTGTACTTGTCCTTGTAGTCGCTGGCAGGGCTCACCACCACAGGTCCCTGCTGGGCTGCCTCCTCCTCCTGCCTCTGGGCCAGCTCCTAAGGGTGGAAGGGGAGGGCACTGGTGCTCAGAGGCCCAACCCAAACCCCCACCCCTCTCAGGAATGAAGTAACTCACCTTCAGCTTCCGCTTCTCCTCGGCCTTCTGGGGGTCCCATTCCTCCCCACGACGGTAGGAGTCTAGCTCTTCATCTGAGGGTGCAAACTCCTGGAGAAGAGCAGAATGATGCGATCAAAGTCCATACAAAGGTTTCATCTCGCCGGGCGCGGTGGCTCAAGCCTGTAATCCCAGCACTTTGGGAGGCTGAGGCGGGTGGATCACGAGGTCAAGAGATCGAGACCATCCTGGTCAACATGGTGAAACCCCGTCTCT